GGACCTGCTTGGGAGAATCCCATGGGATAGGGTCCTAGAAGGAAGAGGAGTCCAAGAAAGCTGGTTAATATTCAAGGATCACCTCCTCCTGCTATTGGGATGTACCATTCTTGAGCTTGGAAGCTCTGCAAAGAGGGTAGGAGACCTACAGGGATGAACAAGGAGCTTCTGGCAAAACTCAAACAGAAGAAGGAAGCGTACAGAAGGTGGAAACTGGGACAAGCCAATTGGGAGGAATATAGGAATGTCATCCAAGTACGCAGGGATGCAACAAGGAAGGCTAAGGCCTGTTTGGAGTTTAAACTGAAAAGGGATGTCAAGGACAGCAAGAAGGGCTTCTTCAAATACATCAATAGCAAAAGGAAGTCTAGGAAAAATGTGGACCTGCTCCTGAATGGGGTAGGGGCCCTGGTGATGATGGATACGGAAGGTGGAGGTACTGAATGCCTTCTTTGCTTCAGTCTTCACTGCTAAGGTCAGCCCTCAGGAATCCTGGACCCTGGAGACCAGGGAGAAAGTCTGGAGAAAGGAAGACTTTCCCTTGGTGGAGGAGGATCAGGTTAGGGATCACTTAAACTTGACACCCACAAGTCCATGGGTCCTGATGGGATGCACCCACGAGTGCTGAGGGAGCTGGTGAATGTCATTGCTAGGCCACTCTCCAACATCTTGGAAAGGTCATGGTGATCAGGAGAAGTGCTTGAGGACTGGAAGAAAGCCAGCGTCACTCCAGCCTTCCAAAAGGGCAAGAAGGAGGGCCCAGGGAACTCCAGGCCTGTCAGCTTCACCTCCATCCCTGGAAAGGTGATGGAACAGCTCCTCCTGGATACCATTTCCAAGCACATGAAGAACAAGGTGATCAGGAGTAGTCAGCACGGATTCACCAAGGGGAAATCATGCTTGACCAATCGGATAGCCTTCTCTGATGGGATGACTGGCTGGCTGGATGAGGGGAGAGCAGTGGATGTTGTCTCCCTTGACTGCAGCAAGGCTTTTGACACTGTTTCCCATCACCTCCTCACAGGTAAACTCAGGAAGTGTGGGCTAGATGAGTGGACGGTGAGGGGGATGGAGAACTGGCTGGATGGCCGAGCTCAGAGGGTTGTGGTCAGTGGCACAGAGTCTAGTTGGAGGCCTGTAGCTAGTGGTGTCCCCCAGGGCTCAGTCCTGGGTCCAGTATCGGTCAACATATTCATCAATGATGTGCATGTAGGGACAGAGCGCACCCTCAGCAAGCTTGCAGATGATAGAAAACTGGAAGGAGTGGCTGATACATCAGAAGGCTGTGCTGCCATTCAGAGGGAGCTGGACAGGCTGGAGAGCTGGGCCGAGAGGAAACTCCTGAAATTCAACAAAGGCAAGTACTGGGCCCTGCACCTGGAGAGGAATAATCCCAGGCCCCAATATAGGCTGGGGGGAAACCTGCAGGAAAAGCAGCTCTGCAGAGAAGGACCTGGGAGTGCTGGTGGACAACAAGTTAAGCATGAGCCAGCAATGCATCCCTGTGGCCAAGAAGGCCAATGGCATCCTGGGCTGCATCAGGCAAAGCATCGCCAGCAGGTGGAGGGAGGTGATTCTCCTTCTCTGCTCATCCCCAGGGAGGCCACATCTGGAGTGCTGTGCCCATTTCTGGGCTCCCCAGTACAAGAGACACGGAGTTACAGAAGCAAGTCCAGTGAAGAGCTGCTAAAATGATGAAGGGACTGGAACATCTCTCATATGAGGAAAGGCTGAAAGAGCTGGGACTCTTCAATGTGGAGAAAAGACAGCTGAGGGGGAATCGGATCACTGTGTTTAAATATTTGAAGGGCGGGTGTCAAGAGGATGGAGCCAGGCTCTTTTCAGTGGTGCCCAGTGACGGGATGAGAGGCAATGGGCACCAACTGAAACACAGGCAATTCTGTCTAAGCATAAGAAACTTCTTGACTGTGAGGGTGACTGAGCACTGGAACAGGTTGCCTAGACAGGTTGTGGAGACTCCATCCCTGGAGATACTCAAAAGCCATCTGGACAGGATTCTGGGCAATGTGCTCTAGGTGAACCCTACTTGAGCAGGGGGGTTGGATTAGATGATCTCCAGAGGTCCCTTCCAACCTCAACCATTCTGTGTATAACAACGTCTAGTGTTTACACCCAGCTGCACCACAACTCTAACTATAGAGCAAACCTGAATTTCACCCTTTTATCACAGTTATAACTTAACCATTCACACACAAGAGACTTTTTTTTTTTTCTTTGCCACAATGCCTGGGCTGATGGCTGCTGTTTCTGCCTCATATCCTCCATGGAGTAGCTCTTGTTGTTTGCTCATCCTATCAGAGCAGGAGTGCTCAAAGGTGCACTTAAAAAGGCAAGTGGTAAAGGGTGGCTTCCTAAGAGCCCTGCTTCTCAGGAGAGCTTGAACAGAGCTGTCGCTTCCAGAGTACAATGTCCGTTTGAGCTCGCAGCTACGTGTTTGTCCTGCCACTGGTTTTCTGGCAGCTCAATCTAAGCAAAGGGAGTGAGAGAAGGTCAGACCCTCTGGGCTGCTCCCTCTTTACCTGTGTCCCTGCCAGGAGGGAGCACTTTCTAAGAAAGGTTTCCCTTTTCTAAAGCTCCATCCAAGTTCCATCGAATCCAGGAAGTGTTTTGTATTTTTTCTTGTTGCATGCCCCCAGCACAGAAGCTGTGTTGCACAACACAGGCCACGCAGGATGTTTTTTCCTCTATTGAAAGCACAAGGTGTCTCAAGGAGTTTCTTCACCTGTGCCTAAAGGTTTATAAGGCGGGTGATCTTAACATTGTGACTGCCTTGCAGGATGTGGACTGGGGACAACTTACTATGAAATGGTGAAAATAGTGTGCAGCTGCTCTTGGGACATGCTCCACTTAGACTCAGGGGAGGCTGAAGACTTCCCTGAGGGACATTTTCTCCAGCATCTGCAGGCAACTCCTGAAGCCTCATCCACCAAATTGGGCCAACCTAAGGGCCTTCAGGTGTGACTTTTCCTTTGGAAAGGAACGCACAGCTGCTTTAGCCTTAAGACACTTCCTCCAGCTCTTTGACACATGGCAAGTAATATGGCTTGCAGTTCCCTGAAGCATTGGTGCACCCATAGACGACAATATCCCAGGGAGAACAAAAGGTCACTTTTATGTGACTGTCTTTTGGTGAGGTGATCTGTAGGAACTTTCACCACCTGTGTGTTAGAGGGCTCAAAGCCTTTTAAAGGATTTTGCAGCTGGAAAGGACTCAAAGGAAGGGTGATGTCTACTTTTATAGTGAAATACATGGCCCTGACCATGTTTCTGAGAGTATTCTGAGTATAAGAATGATTCCGCATCAAGTACTAGATGGTAGCTACCCTGGAGAGTGAAAGCATATATAGAAAATGTGTTGCAAAGGATATTAGTCACAAGGCAAAAACTTTGTATTTCTCATTACAGTATCACAGTTTTTGATTACTGTAATGGGCAAAGAGCCTGTTTGTTGTTTGGTTCCTTATTTAATTATCTCATATTAATAAATAAATGCAGGCCCATGAGTGTGTTATGCAAATGTTGGATGGGAAGACAATATTCTCAGAAACTCAATGCTTCATGCAAAAGATGGTTCAAGCATTATGTGGGTATGCATACTTCTCACCTCTGTTGCGCTGGTCCAAATCATCTTATGGAGTACCTGCCATATACAGTGTCACAGGCAGGTGCAACAGGAATGTCATATACCATCTTGTAAAACGTTAGCCAAACACACAGAAATGTGTATCAACTTGACTACCTTCTTCTGAAGGCTAAGTTTTTTTTATATGCCTATAGATAGGTTTACAATGATAGTAAGTGATTAGGCTAATAATAATAGCAAAAATTACTTGGAAATAGTCTAAACCTAAGCAATTCCTAGCTTTCAGGAGAGGCTGGATCTCTAATATGTGAAGCACCTAAACAATATCTGCATTAAAAAGAAACCCACAACTCACACTTGAACAGTGTGGGAATTACAACCCTAAGTTACATTAACAAATCTAATTTTTATTTTTAATTTGATAACAAGCTCTCCTTTCATTTCTAGCCTTTCACAGAGAAGGCAGTCTCCTGTGAGGATGAGGAATGGGCGCAATAGGAAGCAGTGTGTCAAATACAGGAGATTAATGGGCTATTACTAATGGGAATCCCCAAGGTCTCTTAACACTGTCTTAGAGTAGTAAGATTGGAATGCTTTAGCGAGCAGGAAGATGAGAAAATCCACAAAAGGAAACAAAGTAGCTGAAGTACAAATAAGACATAGGAGGGATTCTGGAGGAAGGCAGGATACCCCATCTAACAAACAGACAGAAGTAATAACTGCAGTGTTTCAGTGGGATGGTCATCTTCAATCATTCATTTTTAGTTAATGCTGGTGCATTCATCTCACTTCAGTGACCCTGCTCTTTCTTTTAAAAAAACAAACAAACAAACAAAAAAAACTTTCCAACATACTCTGCTCAGCACTCAAACCAAAGCTTTTTAAGTGCCAATTTAGACTTTAAAACTATGTAATTTGCTTAGAAAGCTGGCACAAAATAGACAAATTCCCCTCCTCTCATCCACTTTCCCCCAATTTAAAACACAGTGCAGAAAGATTTAAAGCTTTTTATTGTCCTATTATTAATTTTTTATCCTTTTATTGCACCTATTATTAATAGGTGAGTGACATTTTGTAACCAAAAGGCCTTCTTCAAATATTCTGAACACAAATTATTCTTGTATTCTACATATATATGGGCATTTTCAAAAAATCGCTAATCTAGATCAATAGCTACTGAGTAAGATAAAGCTCACAATAGAACTTTCCTCCTCCACAGGTTAAGTTATATCGAATATTTCAAAAAAGCTTAACACTAAGAAATATGAATTTCAGTAGAAACTAAGGTGTTTCTAAACCTACTTTCAAAAATCCTCCTTATTCTTCCGCCTTAATATCCTGATCTGCAAAGTGTCCATGAACAATCTTAGGTGTACAAATAGTCGACACTTCTACAGGAAAGTGAATTTCATTTATTACGTTGCATTCAATCACATGTAATCAAGCACATGATGCTTCAATTTACATATTTATATTGGAGAAAGTATTTTACCCTCTCGATTACATGTTTTCTTTAAATATTATGAGTTGATGTCAGTGACATAAACGATGAAAAAACTCAAAGCATAAAACGCTTGACCCTTTAATATCAAGAACCAATGAATACATACAAAGTCAAGGCATGAGTCTTGAATATAGTGGCATAGATACACTGGCTACTGTATGACAGCTGAACTGCTGTAACTGCCTGTATGTACACATCAAATCCTCCACAATTGTGTGGCCAGTTTCCACATGCTGAAGGAATTGCACACAAGGAAAGCTGTTTAATTTGTTGTACTAAGCAATTAGGGCAGGTGCATGTGGTCAGCTACAGCACCTTGGCTCAAGTGGTCACACAACAGTAGTACTTCAATTGCTTGCTGTCATCTCCCAACCTGCATATGTTTGGCATCTAGAAAACCTTTGGCCTTTTCGGTGGTTGTGACAGGTTTTTTTTTTTTTTGTAGTCTCTGTCTGTTTACTACAACTTTATTTTTAAGAAATATCCGTCCATAAGAGGCTGACAGATCAATACAACAGCACAGTTATCACCACTAAGGTGAGCAAATTCACAACTGAAGAAATGATTATTTGAGGAACATAGTTAAAGAATTTTGTTTCATGTGGGATATTTTTGCTGAGTAACTAACAACATTAGGTTGCATAGCTGATTTATATGGTTGATTTATCTGCTGTCTCCCGTGCCCAGGCTGAAATGAAACCAAGAGGAGAAAACTCCACATCTGCCAGAGTTCTCTGTTAAACTTGGATGGGCATCCACACCGCTGGATTGCTTCTGGGCAGAGCAACAGCTGATTGCCTAGGGCATCTTCTTTCAAGGTGGGTCCTGAACAACTAAAGAACTGCTAAAAAAACTGACAACCTCCCAACCAACACTGCCCAATGTCAAGTCATGGAGAAGGTTATAAGCGAAAGGGTACACAGTGCTGCTTTGGGAGTAAGGCTGGATTAGAAAGGAGGAAGAAGAAAAACAGTTATGCTCCAAAATGCATGGCACACTTGAAACTGAAGGTGGTGCTTACAAGGAGCCAAAGTTGTAGGGGATTTCAGGCATGGAAATGCACTGTGGCATTTTTAATGTTCTATTTAGATCTTTTTATTTTATTGTGCTCAATAAAGTTAAAAGTCCTCTTACTTAAACCTTTGCAAAGCTTGTAGCTCACAGTCCATAGGCTTTCACAATCATGTGTACCTGAAGGGGTGAACTGTAAGTTCAAAACTGAAAGAGTTGTGGAAAAGTATACTGCGGCTCTGGGAGAACTGAGACCGTTGGGGGTGGAAGTAGTTATGGTAGTTATGCATGACCGGGCTGCATTTATGTTTCTCTGTGCAAGTAACAAACAGGGCCTGTACCAGGCGCACTGACTGGAATCTTCAGAGGCTCCTGGAAGATAAACGTGTACCACCCAGTACACCAGGACACAGCGACAGTAGCACAGTGAGGTCTATGCTGGAGGCACACTTTTTAGTAATAACTAAAACCTCTATTAAAAAGGAAAACATATATATTCTCAGCATTTATACGGTATGACAGATACATAACCTAGAGTTCATATGATTTCCATTTAGAACTCAGATGTGCCTCCCTAGGTGCAGCAGACTTTGCTCATACTGTTTCTTTAGGCATTATTTTGATTAGCGTCTTTCGGATGTTTCCTACAGAAAGTCCTATTTGTATGTTAAGCCTGGAAGACAGCGCAAGACTGATTAATCTAAAACATGATCATATTCTTTCCCCCTTCTAATATCAATACATACCAATGTATGTATTATACAAATGCATATATACATGCACACACACAAACATACATATATATGTATATATATATGCATGCACAAGTAGGATTTATGTGACAAAGATCCTTGCCCGTTCATGGTCTCTTCCAAGCATCTGCCCCAAAATCAGTCTTGCTAAAAAAAAAAAAAAAAAATTTAAAAAATATTGTAATGAGACACCATGCAAGAAATCAGGAATGAAAAGCACTATGTGCTACCTGACTTTAGGGAGACAACTCTCACTTCTCCATTGGAGGACAATAACCAGCAACTAGGTAAATTAGCCTAACCAGGGTTCTGTACTGCTGCTTCTGGTACCTACAGAAGTTTGCACGTCTGTACGCTACACTGCAGTCTGCAATATAAACACACTCAGAGTTTTAGAGCAAAGTGCACAGCCCACTGGAGCATTTGTTGTTAGACAGTGCAAGGAAGACACCCACACTGCACGTATCCCACGCAAATACAAATGCAATGAGGAGGGGAAACCGAAACACAGCAGGAGAATTTAACAGCTTCAGACTACAATTGTGATAGTCCATATTATTTGTGGTGGATCACATGAAAGATCATCACTTCCCCTACCTATCGTTTTCCTAACATGGCATTTTCTACCCTCTGGAACTTCTGTACTTCAATAGCTAGTTCCCAGTATCTAAGATACAGCCACATAAGCCTTCCATTTTGACTTTTGTTTGTGTTCAGCAGATTGCTGCAGTAGTTATCATGTTTGAAAATATCTTTCAAGCCACTCTCCATTTGTAGAGCCACAGCAACAGGATCAGTTGCTGCTTTAACTAGCAAATTTTTCTCTATTTCTAGTCTCTGGTTCCTTGGCACCACAAGACTGCAGTAGATTTTCTGTCTTTCTTTAAGTCCATCTTCAAATTCTTTTAGTAGAACATTGGCTCTTTTTTGCCACTCTTCTTCCTTTGCCAGATAACTTTGGTACAAGCTACCTACAGCTCCTGAGTGCAAGAGAACTTGTTTTTCTCGCTCTAACTTCTCCTGTTCCTTTTCTAGGATTCTTCTTTCTTCTACTAGTTTGCGACTCTGGGACACCAGCGCTTGACGGTAACTCAGGGTTCTGTTGCGTTCCTTTTCAAGCTCCAGCTCCAAGTGAGCAACTGTGCGACGATTTTCTGTGATTATATCCCGGTATTTGGCTTCCAAGTCTCTTTGTAAAGATGACTGTTTTTTATAATATTCCTTTTTTTCTCTTTCTATTTCTTTCTGGCATTCTCTGGTCCAGATCCAACCTATCATATACAAATGAGACTCCACATATCAGTAAAACACAGATAACATTGACGGGTATGACTAATTAACTCTGCCTCAAAAGAAAAGTTATTCTGCAATAAAAACTTTCTTTCTGGGTCCTCACCCACTGAAAAGGGGCATTCAGTTCTGTTTACATGGCCCACAGAGTGAACTTCTGTGGGTCCATGTTCCACAGGAAGTCACACTAGATGATCATAATGGTTCCTTTGAAGTAAAATCTCCACTAGTCTTGTACTGCTAACATACATACTTCTTGGATTAAAGAAGGAAGATAGGAATTATTGGGGAGATAAACTCGAGGTTCCTAATGCAGGAACTATGCTAAAAACTTTCCAGGTTCAGTATATGGATATACCTCAGCAGCTCTCTGGGTTGTTACCTTTTGGCTATCTAGCACATCACTTGTCTCCTCGTCTGACAGAGGGCTGTGTATAGCGGAGCTTGTTAAAATACAGATTCAATTCCATGTGTGAAAATTTGTCATTGCCTTAGGGTTATAAATTTAACAATGTTTACTGCAACGTTCCAAAACATGACACATCCTGGAAACCATGAGCAGACCAGAGGAAATCCCTAGTTGGGGTATTACTTAATCACTGTATTGTTTCAGAGATTTCACTTCAGCCCGCATGTTACATGCCTGCCCACAGCACCACGCTCCCGCAGAGAGCGTTAGGTCCTACTTACGAAAGGCTGCCAATCCCAGCATGGGGACCAGCAAAGCATAATTCCACCTGTTGCCTTCATCCCCGGGCTCTCTCCGATTTGGCTGGATGTTCCAGTTGGGAGGATCATTTAAATTATTCATGAAGACCCCTTAGATTTACAGGAAAGAAAGGAGGAAACACCGTATTAGCGCTGTACACAGGAACAAAGGCCGCTCCCATAACTACTATTTCATCTGCACCAGTGCTAACCCTTGGACAGGTATTTCTGCCTTGGGCTCTGAATCAAACCAGAGCCAATGGGAACGTCTCGAGGGACGGTAACAAAACCCAGACACATACTGCCCCGAAGACGGGAAATGCAGCCCGTTACTCGGGTACGCGGATTTCACGTGCTCCCGCGTCCCAGGGAGGGTACACAACCACCGGCCCCGACGCCGCTCGCAGGGCGGCTCCCGGCGCCG